TATATATATTATTTAAGTATAAAATAATAAATAATTCAATACAAAATAATTTATATATCGTACAAAAATTGTATGAATTTATTTGAAAGTAATTGATTACTAAAAGTATATCACATTTTATTTATTTATTAACTAACATTCATTAAAAACAAATTGAAAGCATATTGAAAACGTAAGTAATATTTACTAGGTAGTCAAGTAAAAATATTTTGAATATTGAAGTGCAGTCATTTAAAAAAATTAGAAAATAGTTCATTTTAAAGTCTGATATGATGAATGAGTCTCGATGTCTGTAAACTAAGTATAACAAAACTATTATATTCTTATGTTATCTAATTTTATACAAAATTCTATTGATTTTAAAATATGTATACATACGCAAATATTGTGAGGACATTTTAAAAACTTTACTTAATATAATTTTTATATTTTCAATATTTCTTCTTATAAATTAAAATATTTTTATAGTAATTTTGATTAATTATTTTTTACAGGAATATCATACAAACAATTACTATCCAATGCTTTTTAATTTGAGATCGAAAACAATTAAATTTATGTATAGTCTAATTGAAATAAGAGGCTGACAAATAGGTATCTATTTTAATATAGAGTGTAAATATTCAAACTCAATTAATCATAAAATCAATACATCATTTTATCTAATTTTATATTATCTATACAATATTAATTGTAATATCTATACACTTTTTTATAAACGCATTAGTACAATATTATTTATCATATTTTATATTCCATTATGTAAATAATATCTATTTCTTTATATAATATTGCATTCTAATTGTTATTTATTCAATAAATGGATATTATAAAAAGTATTACATATTCATGATAAAAATTAGAAGCCAATTTTTTTTATTAATTTACTACAATATGTAGATGTATTCAGAACATTTTACGTGAAAACAAATTATAAGTAATTATGCGTCATTAATAAATTCTTAGTATGTAGTTAATTATTTTCATCTTATGTGAATTTGTTCAAGTCTATTTCTTTTTTTAGTAAATTGAATAACAGATTAAAATATTTATCTGATTACTAGTTAATTATTTCTAAATATTTATCAATAATATAATATAATATTATACTTTATAAAAGGAATGATAAATATTTTACTAAATTAATCACATTAAACACATAAAAATTTATTAGAATTTATTAAAAAGAAAATATTTTTAATAAATAGAATATATTATTTATATCATTTATATTAAAATCTAAATTATTTTAATGCAAATTTTGATTTTTTGTATCTTCGTTATTTAAGCTATTTTTAAAGATTTCTTAATGATATATTTTCATTGTCTGGGACATTTGATTTCAAAAATTAATTATTTTGTCACATCAGATTTAAATTATGAGTTTTAATAAGAACATAAAATTATAATACATTGGTATTAAAAATTAAAATATGCCAAAACTAAAAATTATAAAAATGATATTATTAGTTTTGCACAATTTTTTCTTATAAAATGTTTATAACTTCGAATTAAAGTTAAACTTTATTACATGAAATTATTGGGTGTTAAAGACTTATGGCACTACTTCATTTTACAGGAGTTGATTTAAAAAGTTTTTATTCAGAATTAAACTGATAATTTTGTTTGACGTGCATTTCTGGTAGTGTTTCATTATTATATTTGATTTAATGAATTACAATATTTTTAAAAATTATTCCCTTTATTCGTTGAATTACAATTAAATTATTTTTTCAAAAAATTGATATTTTCATAGATTTAAAAAATGCTTTTAATTTAAAGTTTTTAATTAATAATCTGTATTAATCTATTAGATTCAATATATTTATAAATCTTTCTTAAATATACCAAATATAAATTCAACACAAATTAACATTTTTCTATTAATAAACGATTATTAGAATGAAGAATCTTCCATATATTTTGGAGTTTTACTTCTAGGATTTGAAAAAGTTAATTTTATAAAATCTTGTTAAAAGCTTCAGAAGTAATAAATAAAAAAGCCACAACAGGCGTAAGAAGTTTTATTTTTTAAATTCTGTTATCCTATTCATAAAATCGAATGTATTAAGTAATAATAAGAAAATATTTTTTCGATAAGCATAAAAATATTCACATTTCTTCTAGCTTAGGATACGATCGTAACTAATTTAAGTTTTTTCTTCACAACACAGCAAGTATAATAAAAGCTCAAAGTGCACGCTAACATATACCTTTCACATTATTAGAATCTTCTTTAGTTATCATTATCGTCATTTTATATTATGATTGCTTACACACTAGCCGCTAATTATTATAAATACATATACATATAACGTAATAAGTATAATTGAGAATGCATAATGCGCATTTAAGTAAAGTCTAATATATACTTGCTTGGTAAAATAGAACTTGAAATAAGAGTTGGGTATTTGGTACCGTTAAGTCAGATGTAAATATGCAAGTGGCTATTTAACGAGAGTGTCTAATAAAATATACGTTAAGGGAATATAAAAAAAGCAACGGTAAAAAGATGTATGAATGTGTTATGAAGTGAGATAGAAGAGAGAATAAAAAAAGGTGCAGATAGATAGATTGAGAGAGTGAGATATATAGGTAAAATTAAGTCGTATCAAAAGTACTGATTTATCGGATAATAAATTGATTGTTTGATATAAGATTCTATGCAAATAACTACACGGTTTCTTTCTAAAATATAAATTAACAATATTATTAAGAGACATACAGATACTAATGTGTTTAAATGTATATAAAAAATTTATTTGTCAAAAATTTTCTTTAATTTAAAGGAAATTATCCAATTAAAATAGATTCTTTTTTATACGTTAATGGTAAATTTTATGTCTTATTATTAACGATAATTAACACATTTATTATATTGATTTTTATTTTAAAGTTATTATCTTGTTAAAAAACAGCTAAACAGATATTATCAATATTATTTAGTTAAAATATTGTACCGTTTTATATAGAGGTATAACGGTTATCACGTGCTTTGAATAGAGTAATATATATATATATATATATATATATATATATATATGTAGATTTTACAGAATCTGTTTTTTTTAAATAGAAATTTTTAACAATTATCTTACATAAAATTAGTTGCGAAATGAACGTTTTTTAAAAAGGAATTAAAATAGTGTTTCAAAAAAATTAAATGTATAAAAACTTTATATATGGTAACATATGCATACATTTACATTATAGTCAAAGAATAATATTTATGGTTTGATGAAGTTTATGAATAGATAGTTAAAAGAAAATTTATATTTGAAATTAGAATTTTTATTTTGTATCATTATTTTAATAGCTTAACATTCGTAATATGTTTTATGATCTTATTATCTCATATTTTATAAAATAAGTAAGATAAATCCAAGATAGTTATAAAACAAGTTTACGACGATTATCTAATTTCATTAATTATAAGTTATATGTATAAATATATTATTCACTCATCTCCTACAATTGTTATTACTAAGCTTCCATGATAAAATATATATATTTTTTGTAATTAAATATATATCAGTGTAATAACATTAAAGTACATTAATCTCTGTTGTAATATTATAAGAATATTTTATTATTATTTTAGATTATGAATAAATGATATTTATAATTAATGCAAAATTAGCTAATCACTTTTTGTTTGTATTAATCACTTTATCTAAAAGTCTAAAAAACCACAATTTGTCTACAAGTTAAATTTATTGCAAATTATTGCAATATTTTTTAATTTTACCATTCAATTGGGTAAGTAATTAGTTGAACATTTATTAAATTGATACACATTATATATATATTTTTAAGGCTGATGCTTTACAAATAGCTTTAATAAGATTATTAATTTCTTTGGTGATTACAGTGAGATTTTTAAATGAGTGGGCATGCATCAGAAAATAAAAATTGGTAATACTTTGTCGAAATTTCTGTATGAATTAATAAAGCGTTTTATTAAATTATAAAAAAAACTTAAATTGATATAATTAAATTTAAAAAATACATATATTAAATACAGCTTAAGTTGAAAAACGTTTTCACAAAGATAGTCATACGTCTGTTTATACGCGTGTATATATGTTAATTCTTATTCTAATAGTTTATAATAGAATTAAATGGTTATAAAAACTAAAAATATTATCAACAACATTTCATCACGTTTGTTCAAATTTACGATTTACAACGTTCTTTGTTTGATGCTATTAACCTTGTCGATGACTTCTAAAAGTATACGGTTTCAATGTCATCCAGTATTGTTTTGTGCTTGGAATGCAAATTAAGGAGCGTGTGCAATACTGCTTAAGTCCTTGATTCATTACAATTAAAATAATTGCATTTAAGGGATAAATTATTGAAGATAAGATTATTAAATTTAATTACAAGCAAGTATTTTGTAATTTTTAATTTTCTTATAATGTTATAATTACTCCCTTAATGTTAATTTTAAAACTAAATTTACAATATTGTTATTAATATTTACAATAAATTAAAAAGATACTATTTAATTAGCTTCAGTTAATTAATAATTAAGTACTTGTAATACATAGTCTTATAATAATCATAAAATTATTATTTATTACATAGTTTATATTTCAATTAAATTTACTTAATAAAATTATTAATTATTCATTTGATTTCTTCAAATTCATGTTAATGTTTGGTGCTTTTTTTAAAGATGCAGTAAATTGTAATAATTGTAGAAAAATTACCTTTAATCAATTAATTTATTGTTACTATCTTTTAAATGATATAAAAGGATATAATATTACAAGTGGAAGTAAGTTGAAGAAAATTAAGTGTGAGAAAATTTTTATTCTTTAATAAATTATATTAGAATCTGTTAATGAGTACAGTAATAAAATATTAAAATAATAATAACTAAACATGTTTATTTAAAGTAAGATTTTCTTTATATTATTCACTATAAAACAATTTAATTTATAAAATATTTTATGCGATTTAAATCATAACTGTTTTATTAATTTTTGTTTCAGTGTGAAAATGTGGTTTAAGCTTGTGATTGTGGTGATTGTACTCGCCATAGCGAGTAGTGGAAATGCAAGGCCTCACGATCCAGGTAAAATTTCTTGAATGAAAATGAGTCTTTGTTTTGTAATTGATATTTTAATTTACTTAATTTATATATTAAAAAAAAAATTTATTCTATAATTAACAATAAATATTGTGATATGTGAAATAAAGTAAAATTCTTTTGATATATTTTATGAATTAATAAAAGATAATTACAAGATTATATCAAGTATTAAAACATAATATTCTGGTAATATATAATATAATAATACTTTACATTATTGTAACATTATAAGTTTAGTTCTATTTGATCTTTTTTCATAATTGAAATTATAAGTGAAGTATTTTTATTATTTTAACATTTTCAATAAATACATTTGATTAATAAAGTTGCATTAGTTTATTAATCTTATTCTTAATTTAAGTTTATATATTTAAAAATATCTCATATTAAATCTGTATTTTTTAATGAATGTATAATAACATTTATTATTAATTAAATAATTAGATAATTTAGTAGATACATTTTAATCAACTTTTTTGTATAAATTTTAAAATAAGTATATAAAATTATGCTTTTTCAATCATGAGATATATATACGATTGTACAACTGATATATATAATATGCATAATCAAAAATGTACATAATACTATTATATATATGTAAGTAAAATATTGTTATTTTGTTTATGATTTTGCAGATCCATTGGACGATAGCAATTCACAGGAAGTCACGGAAGAAGCTGCTGGAGCTGTTAACAGAAGCAGGTATATAATAACGAAGAGACAGGTACCTTCGGACTCGCTCACGTCTAATCCGAGAAATGCTATCAGTATTACTAGATTTAAGTATGGTAATAGTAGTAATAAGTCAAATAGAATTGCACACTCCATGCTTTCTAATTTAAGTATTAATACCGAAAGAAAGAATTACGTTCCTCTTGATGCTCTATCTTATGGTATTACACAAACAAGCAATAGCCTAAAATTAATAAAAAAAAGAAATCGTCAATGGACTTATACAAATTCAAATAAATTCAATCCATTAACGATTCCGTTTATATCTCCTTCACAAGCTCCAATGCTCTTACCTAGATCTGAATCCTTATTACAAAAAAATGAAATTATAATTACTAATTCAACATTTCCTAATGAGCGCAAACTTTTTATTTTACCTACTGCTAAAACTATTTCTTTGTCATCCAAGCAAATCGATGTATTACACTTAAATTCAGCAATGCGCGACAAACGAATGATGTCAAGAAATTTGGTTAGAATAATACCTCAGCATCTCAAATCATCAAATAATATTCAACGGAATTCAACATCGTACAAGATAAAGCCATATGTTACAAATGTACAATTAAAAAATTGGCCAAATGAAGCTTTACAAAATATTCAAGATCTTTTAAATTACGAGAAGTATACATCTTTTGCCAATGAAGAATTTCAAGTCCCAGTTGTAAAATTTAATATATCAAGTAAGCAAGAACCTACCATTACCAGTCCAGAGCTACAACTTCCTTTAAATTGGTCAAAAATACCAATACATGATAGTTTATCACCATCGAATGATCGTATTGATTCAATGATACGAATTGATAGTCTTCTAGATGATCTTAGAAAAAATAATGTCAATTCACAAAATTATGGAGATACATCAGAGATTACGCAAAATACAGTATTTCATTTTTTAAATCTAAATACTCAGAAGCCAAATGTTACTTTGACTTCACCTATACACATTAAGAATGTAAATCGAACGAAAATTGGAAATAATAGACCACCTCAGAATGTACATATTATGTTTATGGTGGATAAAAATGATTCATTAGGTAATAACCAAACAAAAGGACAATACGTGCCACATACAGAGGTTTTAGGAACTAACACAAATTGTCCTACAATAATGATTAATTCTATTACTCAGATTAATAATACGATTGAAAGTAAAGAAGGGTGTACAGATTTAAATATTATCATTAACTCGCACATTCTAAATACAAATATATTTAATCCAGTTATTGATGATTCAATAAGTTTACCAAATACTATAAGTTCTTCTGATATTTTGACTAATATCTATCCAAATAATAATAACTATAATAATTATAATAGCGACTTTAAAAATTCCCTAAATCAAATGCAAGCCGATAAACTCAATACTACAGAATTTCTTCAGTCAGAACACGAAAACCCTACTTTTCAGCTTTTTCAGGGAACTCATATTAATATAGGAGAAACTGATGAAACTGCGCAAGATACGGAAAATGGTGAAAGTTCTTTCGATTCTTTTGGATCTGACGAATTTATGGATAACAATGCTGATGGATTATCTTCATCCAATGGAGTAGGCAATAACAGTGATGATACAAGTATTGCTTCGGATTCTCAAGTGAGTCAATTTTCGGAAACAGCACCCATAATACAAGATGTTGGAACGGGGCAAGCAAATGACGCGTTAGGAACAGTTTCATTACCTAGTTTACCAAATTTACCAGTTCACCCTAGCTCAATTATAAGTGGAATCAATAATTTTGGAAGTAGCGGAAGTGCCGGTATTTTAGGAAGTAATGGAGAAACGAATGTATTACCTAGTGATGACATTGATGATAATGACGACGATGAATTATTTGATGCATTATCACCAGTAGGATTACTAGAATCTATATCATCTGTATTTACTTACTTTAATGTATTAAACCCCATAAATTATGGAATATTCGGGATCGCTGTAGCACCTTTTATTGCATTTGCTGCAGGAATTTTAGGCGTTGCAGCTTTTCTTTTTCCCTGGCTATTTCCGAGTAATTTGAACTTTTCACGAACGTGGAATAATAACAATAGCAGTGGAATACAAGTTAAGTTAAATTCAAATTTACAAGATTTGGTGCAAAGTTCAATAGATAAATATATACGCTTAAATGAATGGAAAGGTAGAAGAAGGAAGAAAAAGAAAAAGAGATGAATTTCATTATCTAAAAAATGTAATTTATATTTGTTATTATTGCTACATAAGAGAATACGCGCTTTTATGATTAATCACATGATTTATAAAGAGTATAAGTAAATAAGCTATCGTGCAGCTTAATAATCTGGTTATAATATTGCCTTATTTATATTATTGAATTTTACTTATTTATATAAATATTTATAATAAATGCAAATATATTTTACAATTGAATATTATCAAATAAATGTTCATAAACTATTTTTTAAGATCACACTATTTGTTTTTTGAAATATGTTTCGAAATAAACTTTGGAGAAAAAAAATTTTTATTTCCTTTTTTATCATCCTTTTTTGAGAATAAATTTTTGGAAAATGGAGAATTAATAAAAACGAAATTTTTTATGTTCTAATTATTTCACAGACATCAATAATGTAACTTATAACTTTTAACTAAAAATAATTCGAAACCATTTTTTTAAGCATGAAATAAAATCAGAATCATTTGATTACATTTATTAATAATCTGAAAAATTTCAGTTTGAAGCAATCATAAATAATTATATCTTACTTGTTTTCTACATATTAAAACATCTAGATTAAAACATCTCTATATTAAAACATTCTTTATATTCTTAAGATACATAATACTCTAGTAATTCAAATCTAATCTAATAATTTAAATCCTAGGTAATAAAATTATCTAAGTGTTTGTTATTATGTTAGGCAAGAATTATCTTCCAAGTGATTTAATTATTTTCATTCATATCAACATAAATTGAATTAACTTTAAATTTAAATTAAAATCTTTAATTCATTTGATTTTTTAACTTTCAGAGAATATGATTATGCCAATAAAATATTTTCAAATTTTTTATGTTATCAAACTGTATAAGACATAATTAATAAAAATGGAAAGCAAATCTTAATATTTTTAATTATTGTAATTAAAAAAAAAACCATCAAGTATTCGAAAACTGATAATTTACCAATAATGCGTTTTAATAAAAATTGAAACAAAAAAAACCTACCGTTACGCGCGATAACAAAAAATCAATTATGCCGTAAAATCTTGAAATTAATGTGGTTTTAAAATTAAAATTATAAGTATTTGTTTTTATATATTTATTGATGTATTAATACTAATTATGATAGAGATATCCAAAAATTTTCATGAATAATTTATTCTAGATGTAAATAAGCTTATATATTTTAAGTTGGGAATGGGAAAATTTTTCTCTCATAAATGTTTAAGAATTATTATAAATTTTCAGAGTTTTAAATTTATAATTTGGAATATTTTATGATACTTAATTTTAAGGCAAATTAATACATACAGTTTTTTTTTAATTTTAAACAAAATTTATTTATATGAATTAATTTGTAATTTTTATAACATTTGCGTATTTTTATAACCTTCAAACATATGAAAATGACTTTGTACTATAAATAAATTATAAAAATTATCGTTAAAACTGCTACATTATTGCATTTTTATTGCTACTTTTTTATGGAATCAAATTCTGTAAATTTTGTATTTTTATCACATTTTTTCCCATACTTATTCCATTTCCTTTTAATATTTGTTTATTAAACTCATTTATATGAAGATATTAATTATTGAAAACATTTTTTTATTATAACAAATATAGATATTATAAATATTGAAATATTATTTTCGATGAGAAAAATAGAATTACTATATTGTATAACTTACTATTTTTGTATACATCGAAATTTTTCTTTATGAATTTGATAATGTTAAAAATCAAATGTAAATATAATAATTTCATTTATTAAATTTGAAATGGAAGATCTACGTACGTACGCAGACACGTACGCACACACACGTTCATGAATAATTTATGCATACACTCAAACACACCCATATACAATATTTGTATGAATAAGTAATAACTATATATAATTAAATACAATTAAAACAACATGAAATTAAAGTTGTCGATAATTATTATGTTGGATTTAATAAAATATGAATACTTAAAAAAAGGCAATAAAAACTTTAGCAAAATATAAAAATCAATTCATTTACTTTTATTATTAATTAATAATGATTTGTTATATTAATTCGGTGATATAATTTAACCGATAGTATATATTATTATTATAAAATATATAAGTGGGACTATATATAGTTAAATTATGTATATTTAAATATGTCAAATTCATTCATTTATATATAAATATATATATATATATAAATATATATATATAATTAAAAATTAAAATACCATTCAATTACTTAATATTAAAATTATTTTGTAGAAAAATCGATTTTTTTTACTATTATTATTAAAATATAGACTGAACTTATGCTCTTACAAATTTGTAGATATTTAGGCCTTAAAATAATTGCTTTATTACAATGATATTACAAAATAATATTATAAATATATATGTGATATATATATATATATATATATATATATATATATATATAAATATATATATATATATATATAAATATATATGATATTATAAAATAATATAAATAAAATACTAAAAAATACAGTATTTGTTATATATTTAAGCGTAGATATATTGCTGTGAGTATATACGCGATTTTATAAAGGCTTGTATTTGTACGTATAATTTAAAAATATAAATTTGTGCTTTTCCTAAATTTATTTACCTTGACTTTTTGATAATGAAATGATACATATTAAATTAGAATATATTTTTTATTCTTTTGAGGGTTGATCAAATAAATATTAATTCCGCAATACGTATTTCAGAAAGCAATAAAAAATTTCTTTGTACTTTACATTAAAGTAATAAATCTGCACAAAATATAATCTATATAGTATAATTTAATTTAGATAATATAATTGTAAACAATATTTTTAAGTACGTAAGTAAACAAACGACATTAAATTAAGTAAATTAAATTAAAAGATTTTTATAAATGAAATTGTACATATTTTTATAACAATACCGAATAATTTATTCATAATTTTGAATATCTAATTTTTGCATTTTCCAATTTATAAGCTTATAGTAATAATGTAGAATATTTTCTTACAGTATAAGAATTTAAGAAAATTAGCATATTTAATAAACGAAAAATACTTTATAGGAAGTATGTTCAGTGTAATGAAATACAAATTTTATTATTAATTTATTTTTCAATAATTATTTGGCTTCATCAAAAGTTTTTAAAATATTTACATTAAAATATAGTAATTTATAAAAAAGAGTATAAATTTAATAATATTAAAAAATTGGTTTTTTATAAACAAATATAGAATATAAATAGTTGCTTATGAAAGGTAAGTAATTTTATTTGAATAATTTTACTTTTATTGGATTTAGTTTTATTAACATTGTTGCTAAAAATGCGTATAGTTTTTATAAATTTCTTTAACATGTATCTAATATTTTATTAAATTATTTATTAAATATATTTTTTAAACAAATAATAATTTAACAAAAAAAAACTTTTGATTAAAAGTAAATTAATTAATTTAATAATTAGATATATGTAAAATTTGTTATAATATTAATGAAATTATATTAAAACATGTATCTTTAATTTATTTCAAAAATATTTCGTAATTATACATTCATAATAATACATGAAAACATTAATACTGTTTCCTATAATTAATATATAAATTTTATATTTATTTTTATCTCAGATTTTCACAGGACAATAATGTTGGAAATATTAATTTTTTCTTACATTAAAATGAATATAATAGATTATATAATTTTTATTTTATTATATAAATTATATTTACTTATAAGACAGTTTTACAGATACATCTGATAAAATATTAACTGATAAAAAATTATTAAACAATATATCTAAAGTAACCAGTTTTAAACATAAATTTGTTAATTGAATCACAAATCGAAATAGAATTGCAATTTTTATGGGCATGAATTAAACCACATACTTTAAAATATACTATATATAAAAATAATTATTAGATTATATATAAATTTAATTATTAAATTACATTACGAAAAATTAATCTTAAATTAGCGTATTTAATAAATTTTATTTTAATAATACAAGGAGCACACTCATTTATAAGATTTGCTATTAACGATGTTGTATATAAAAAATGTATTATATTGGTCAATTCATGTTTTAGAGTATATTCATATTTTGATAATTAAAGCTTTTTTATTAAATACGTAGAAATTATTGAGAAGTAAGAACAAATGTTTTGATATATAAAAAATTAATAAATTTCATACATTTTTGTAAATGATTTTAATAATATATTAAAAAATTTTTTTATTTTTTTGTTTCAATTATTACAATGTGTAATTACTAAATTTGTATTAATGAATAAAGCAGAAATACTTATTCAAATAATATGTAATAAAGAAAATATGTAATTAAAATACTGACTACACATGTTTTTAAATCTAGATTAAAGACAATTTATAATTTTGAACTTCAAATAGAGTTTTGATGATATTTGTAGTTGTTACTATAAATATATTAGAAAATAATAACTGAAAATAAAAGAATATAAAAACATTACTATATATTATATTCGAAAATAAATATAAATATAATAGCTTTTTGTCTCCATGATTTTAATTTAACTAAAAATAATAAGAAAATCAAGCAAATTATTAATTATTTTAATTTATAGACAAGTTCAACATCGAGAATTAAAGGATATCCAAAATATGGATCAATCGTTAAGGACTGTTGCAACGCAGCTCTTAAATACTACTGTGAAACATGAAAATCTTGTACGAATACCGGAAGAAAAAATTGTCACAATTGAAACTCCCATGCAAGTTGTTCATATATCTACACGAATCGAGGATGCAGTTAGTGATATTAGTAACGATAAAGAGGATGATGAAACTAAAATGAAATTTGGAATTCCAATAAACTCTAAATTTGGGCATTTTGAGGTTAGTAATCCTGGACATGCAATGGCAATGACTGAAGAAGAAATCGAAAGAGAAATGGCAACAACTGAAGCTAGTATTCAGAAATATCGTTCTACTACAAAAAGTATGCTATCCACGTGGATTCAATTGTATCCGCCTTCAACAACTACTGAACGCAATAACGTTTCTGAAATTAAAACTGAAATTCCAGATAATGAGGTATATTCTTTGACTAGTACCAAATTACCTTCAACTACTTTTAATAAACTCAGTACCGCTTATAATAAACTTAATCGGAATACGGAAATTAAACTTACAACAATACCATCTACTGAATCCTCGCTTTCAACTACGAAATTTATCAAGAATTCAAGTATTATTGACGTTACAAATAATGTTCAATTAAGTTCAACACTGTCAACAGTAACGATCGAAAATAAAACAAATGGAACTGCCTCAACAGAAAAGAAATTACAAAATCAGCGTACAAATGCTTCTGTTCATACAATAACAAAGTCTACTACACCTCTAAAGAAACTATCGACAAAAGGTAGTAACTCATTGAAGCCAAAAATTACAACTCCAAAAAATGCGGTTACAAAAGTAATTAAGAATAATAGTACTGTAAATAGGTTTAAACCATTAGCAACCAGAAGACCAAATAAGAATGATACTGTTACCAGCACATCGAAAATCGAAAAGGTGACTTTTAAACCTACTATTTATATTTCACAAAATCAAATATCTAGTACAGAAAAGTCACCTTTCGTTACTAAAATTAAAGCATCTATATTGACAAATTCTCAAAAGTCAAACACTAATGTTCCAACTGTAAAACCTATTCATAGTATTCTTTCGAAATCTAATTTTTCTGCTACGGAAACATCAACTACAAAAATTCCAAGTCCTACTCAAGTAAATAATGTTCTAAAAGTTTCGTTAAAAAAACCCGTTGATGATTCAACAAAAATTGAAATTCAACCCATTCGTGTTAATCCCCCAGTATTAACGATTGAGCAAATTGAAGATTTAAGTTTAGATCAAAAGACCAACAACGATAATCAGGATATCTTAGAAAATTCGAAGATTGACGTAAAATTTGATTTCAGTCCTGAATATACTAATGTTAAATTGCAAATACCATCTGCCGAAAATTCTTCATCAATTATATCTACAACAACAACGAAAAGACCTCGTTTATCCCACAAACGTAAGAAGAACAAGAATCGTCGTCGAAAACCATCCACTACTACTATATCTACTTTAGCAATACCATCTACAGCAACATTTGATAATATAAATTTATTACCTTTGGATACAACTAATACTATAAATAATGTAAATCGTGATAAGATTCAACTATCGTCAATTCAAGAATCAAAAATTGAACCTGAATCTAAAGCTCCACCTTCGAAAAAAAAAAAACCTAATCAAACCCAAGTTCAAAAGCCAATTGGTACACAAATATATAATTTTTTGAGCCGTGAAGTAATGCCAAGTGTAGGTGTTATGTCATTAGTAGGTTTAGGACTTGGTTTAGCATCTTACTTCTTGTATCCGTTTGGTGGAGTGATTGCTCGTAGAAATTACGACGTAGAACCAAATTATAAGTACAACCTTGATGAATATGGTGGCAATTATGGTCTAAGCGAAGAAGAAGTTTTATCTAAAGTTTACTCCGGTATGACTGGTGGTCAGCATCACGATTCCAAGTATAATTTCATTGCTACTAGTGAGAAGAATCCAACTTACTACAGATATACAGGATCAGAACACGTACAGCAGCAAACCTCAAGATATCCAGTGCTACCCTTTAAAAATGCAGGAAATCGAGTAGTATATAGACCTGTTGAGACTACATCATATGATGGAAACTATCGAAATACTGAATTCAAATATCCTGATGTACCTACGACACCAAATTATTATGAACGTCAGAGGCAACAACAGCTTTCAACTGATTTCGTATCAACTGCTCCAAAGGTTGGAATGAGCAAAAATCGTCAATTTGTTGTTGGTAATGTGCCTAAAGAATATTCGAGTAAAGACGTTGAGAAGTCTTTTGATGTGATTAAAATTCAAGATAAGATCGATCACAATTTATCGTATTCAGCAATTGAAAAAAATTCCGAAAATAATTTATCTGCAGAACCACTGACAGCTCCAGATTTAAAATCTTTAAATAATCCCGCGTCATTTATTTCGAAAAATAATAAAAAAAATTCTGCTGAAATTTATGAAGAAATGGAAATTTCTCCAACAGCCGTAGCCGTGGAACATGGTCCAAGATTTTTAAAATCATTGGACGATGATTTGAATGTTAAATCAGCAGCGGTTCCTAAGTTAATTCGTAAAAAAAGAAATATATTTTTTGATGTAAAAAAAAACCATGCACAAGCTTTGGTTCCAGCTTTGAAACGTGCGAGGATTGAAAGAAGCTCGGTAATTCAAGTGATACCATCAAAAAGCGAAATTGAAAGAGAAAGTAAAATGCAAGAACAAGAGGAAAATCTAAGTAATGAAATATTAAACATAATTGACGATGCATTGCCCGATAAAATTGATTACCAAAAGAAAAAGTATAATGATAAACATGAATCTACGATGAGTGCAACAACCAAGAAGCCATATAACAAAGTGTCGGATACTCTAAGAGACAGTATTAGTAAAGGTACATCAAGTAGTACTCTTCCTGATACATCGATCATCAGTGATATACTTGGGTAAATACATTTTTAATATAAAAAATTAATTAAAATTGAATTTAAATTAACATAATGATAAAAGTATTTGAATAAAAAAAAAAAAAAAAAAAAATTAAAATAAAAAAAATACTTCCCATAAATAATAATAATAACATAATTATTTTTATTACGCATTAGTTCGACGGATGGTAATATAATATCAACTTCTGAGAAAAAAATACGATATGATACTTATTCTACAAGTTCAACAACAATGCTGATAACGACAAATAAGGCATCATCGGAAGAATTAACGGAATCCAATGTCAATCAGACTGAAACGATATCAGATTGGCAGGAGAATATTAAAACAACAACAAAGCCAACGCCACCTACAAATAATGGCATTGACATACTTGGAATAGCAAAAAGAATAGCCGAAATCAAGCTCAGACTAGGTTTAACAATCTTGAAGCATGCGAGTGAAGGGTTAGCTAGATACATAGGACATATACAGAAAAGGTTCAACGGCGAAGAATAAGAGACAATATTTTGTTTTGTCTTTTATTTCTATTATTGATATAAAATCGTTTGATTCACTGACTGAAGAACCGATTACTAAATCAAATGGTTAATGAGTTGATTAAACAGGGCTGTGTAATTTATTGTATTTAAAATTGGCTTTTATGAATTTGACTAAATTAAATTTGTTAAACTAGTAATTAATATTATAGTATCAATTGAGCTAAAAATAAGTAAAAAATACGTATCCCAAGCGATATTGCGTGAAAGAATTTGCAATTAATTTTAGAGCAAATATTTATAATGCAAATATTATTTATGAACTTATAAATACAGACTATATATTTATCTATTGTCTTACGATGCTTTAAACAAATTATTTTGAATTAAAAAAATTATATTATTATTAAATAAAAAAAAAAGATCCATTTATGAAAATAATTATAAAATAATGGAATTATATAATGTTCTGTTAAAAAGGAAAGAGACCATTTAAAAAATTAATGGATGAATTATTTTTGTTATTCATATACAATAATTAATTTTTTAATAAGTGTTTCAATTTTATTTTTTTTAATGCTACATAGAGCAAATATTATAATAATATTTACTGAATAATATTTAAAAATATGTGAATTGTTGAAATAAAAGTGTATATTTGAATAATAATAATTACGGTTAACATATGATAAGTCTGGATTTATATTGTTTTTGGGAAAATTTTAAAATAATTTATATGATTTTATCCTTAATATCAATTATAACATATCATTTATAAATATTATATTATAAAATTAGATATTTCTAATTAGTAAGCTAAATTATATTTGACTTGAAATGAATTTTTAATTTTATTTATCAAATATTCAATTAATTATTTTGTTAATACTCTTTATATGAAGAAATTTTTATGTTTGAAATGCTTTTATCGTTTTTAAAAAAAACTATAATTTATAATATAATACGTTATATGTAATACCCAGTTATATTTACACTCTAAGGAGATAAAATATGACATACAAACGTTTGGAAACCTTAAAATCTAAATTATAATGCGATTATTGATACACTCGTAAAAATATTTAATATTATGTATTCTATAAATATATAATCATTGAATTTTTTAATCGTAATTTTTTTAACACATTAAATTATGACAATTATGAATCATATATATATATATAAAGATAAACTCAATATTTCAAACAGGTAGCCTCGGTAAATTGCTACATTTTGTATATTTCAGTAACAATTATTTTACAACTCTGTATGTGGCGATCGATCGTATAATATCTAAGCGATTATAGTTAGCAGTTATAAGAAATAATTGAAAAATAATTAAAAAATGAAATATAGAAAATATAAAACACATGGGGATTTTTATTTATTTATTAATTAATTTTCTTATTAATATATTTCTTTAAATTTTTCATTTATTTTAAACTTTTATAAAATGTGTAATCATGCATTCTATTTTGCAGTAAGTAAGCACTCTTTTTATATGAACGAGTATGATAAGATTAAAGCAAAAAATTATTACTACGTATGCTTTGTAAATACATCACCAGAAAAGTTGTACTTAAAATTAATTTTATTATTTTTCATCTAAAATATCAATATTTACTCTGTTTAATATGTTTAATAAATAAATAATCCAATATAAATTATATACTATATTATAGAATATTATAAATACGTGAATAATAATTTAAGGAGCATTGTCAATTTAATATATAAATGTATCGATAAATACTATAAGAAGCGAAGCAATGAACTGTATAATACGATGAAAATGAATTATTTACAAGTCATAAAACAAATATTTCAAATAGTTTTATCAACAGTAAGAGTGTAAAATGATTTATAAAGCATTTTTCAAATAAAAATAATATCACAATTACTATTTTCAAAAATACAGTTAAAGAATTATATTTTTATGTAACTGCAATAAATAAATATGCGAAGATATCGCATTATAAAAAGATTTATTATTGTGGTATAAAAATCCCATTATATAAATGAAAGATATTAAAACAAACCATTTTTAAATGTTAACGAAATAAAATATTTTAAAAATAATTATTGAATTTCAATTTAATTTTTGGTATGTATATTAAATAACATTAAATGTCGATAAAGTAGAGGTATTAAAGTAATTGTAGTTATCATTAAAAGCATTTCATATTTATCAAAATTTCATTACACTCAAAAAATTGTTTTATTGCGGTTTAAAAAATATAAGCAATTTCTTCAAGCATATTAAGTTATATACATATTTCTTTATTATTCACTAACTTTACTAAAAAGTTTCTTAGTTTATTATTTTAATCGGTAAATAGAGTTTGTAATTATTTTTTTGATTTTACTATAAAATTTTTTAATTAAAAAATTCTATAAAGATATACTCGTCGATTGCTAACATTTATCGAAAATTTAGTTTTATAGCACTGACAATAAAAATAAGTCATCTTAACTGTATAACTGCACATTAATTGTATATTATATATTAAAGCAATTTTTTGTGATACATCATGTATTGGTAATACAATTATATTATATTAACCAATTTTGTGTTAATACATAAACAATTAATTATGTTATAATATAAACAATTTTAGTTGTAACAAATTGTAAAATTAATGATAACACATTGATCTGTTAATGAAATATAATAATTTAGTACTTAAAATTCACAAATATAAAAAAATAAAAAATACTAGAAAAATTATGTTATTTAAGTAGCTATTTAAATTTTCATAACTAAAATTTATTTGATTTTGATTAAATTTTAAGAATTTTTTATTTATTCGATCAATTCTATACAAATTAATTTAAATAAATAATATGTTAATAATATAAAATAAATACTATTTTATTTTACCTTATACAATATGACATTTGCTTTTAGTGTCGAGCATTAAAAACGCATTAAAAACAATAAAAACTGAATAATAGTTTACTCATTAATAGTTTAGGAAATTTGATATATTTCTTAATGTTTATAAGCATAATATAAATATATAAATAAATATTATTTCAAATTTATACAATTTTTCAAAATAATTTAGTCTCTATAGCTTAATAGATAATAATTATTAAAAAAATCTTTCTTTGACATTTGTTCTATATAAGTAGATTTTTTTTTAATTTTAATTATAAGACTTAACATTGTATATATATATATAGTTGACAAAAAATAATTTTAGTTTTTTAATATTTGAAATTTTTAATGTACTAAATTTACTACTATAAAACACAGATATTCAATTTATGTTATTGAAATTTAAATTTATAAATGTCGAATCAGACCTTTTCAAATATTGACATAATATATACTATTTGCTTATTGTTTTAAGGGAACTAAAAGATATAAAAATTATATCTTTTAAATAACTATTACCGTAGCAGAAACATTTTAATATAACAAAGAATATTATTAAATTAGCAACAAATTATAAGTAATATCTTATCTGTTTTACTGAAAAGTTTTGTCATAATTCTTTTTATTTTTAACTAATATATATATATATATATATATAGATATAGATATATATGTATATTCAGTTTATAACGGAATTTTATATTGTTGTCTTTATATTATATAATTTGTGAGCACCTTGGAGAAAAAATTTAATATTCAAAGATATTACTTATCACATCATAAATTATTTCGTTTGTTTATAAAATAGAAAGTTTAATTTCGTATCTTTAATAATCATAGATATAATTTTTACGATAGTATTATCTATAAAATTTATATCAATGTATTAATTTTTAACCTTCCCATAGAATGATTCAATTAATTAAAACATTGGATTAGGTAAATAGAACGTTTTTTGTTTTTCAATATATTACCCGTCATGTTTCAAATTAGTAAATAATGTAATTTCTTTCCCGAGGGTTTTCTTATAATCACTTCATCATTAATAATTAATGCATTCGCTATGAATGTCTTACATTAGAATGCAAATTTGTCTCTAAGATTCAAATATTAAAATTTTTGGATGCCTGTAATCTCTGAATAAATTTTAAACGACTATTGAATTAAAAATTTCCTTTTCCGATCTACTCCAGGGAATATATCTTTGGGCACTCTAAGGTAAACAACATCTGGCATTTGCTCCTCCGATAAGATCGATCGCTTCTTTCTTTTTCCGAGCATTATAGGTATCATCATCGCCATCGTCGCCGGTACCATACCCGCGCCGACAGCCGCCAAAACGGCAGAGCTCGATGGTACACTACCAACTGTGTTGCGAATCGGACGTTTGTTTATCATAATGCCCGCTTTTATGGCGTTAGATTTGCTTTTTTTTTCTATTTCGTATTCCTTCTGGCTTTGATCGACCGTTTTAAAGGTGCGCTCGACTTCTAGGAGGCCGCCGTGTGATGTTGTCGTATTGGTGCCGTTTATGGATGGTAGTACTGTTAGTCTGACCTATTGTAAATTGCGAAAAAATTTTTTATTACATAGTCTAATAAAATTTCTTATCATACATAAGACTTAAGATCACTAGGCTCAATCTTTGTAATAACTACTTAATTCAGTTATTTACGTTACTTTAGTTATGTCATTTTTGGCATTTTATTTTATTATGGGCATGTAATCTTAAGTCAAACATACAATTAACAAATGCACTAATACATTATTAATTGTCCAGTGTTACGTTTCTATGTATTTTAGTTTTCTATGCATTGCGTATATGTTAGAAACATGCGAAATTCTATCGGTCTCTAAGTAAATTGCTAATTAATTTTCATTATCATGCATATCTATATATATATTTATCAGCTTTTAGATTTGTACAAAAATTTAATTTGTCGATATTGATGAAAAAATTTACAATACATAATTAAAAATTTTTTAGAAATTTTGACTTTATTAATTTAAGCACAAAAATGTCATTTATATACGATGAAGATTACACACCATAGTTCCTCTATTCATTGAAGTTATTCGCTTCAATTTTATTAATTGTATTAAATAATAATTATATTAATAATATTAATATGATATCAGAATAATAATTTGGATTAAATATTATTTGTATTTAGACACTTAAAATTAATGTTAGTAGCTTGAAAGAACTCAAATAAGAAAATTTTCTATATATTACACAATAAATATAAAATTAAAAAATTACGTTTTCATAATACTGTCACAATATAAAGATTCTTCATAGTAATATTATTTATGAAACAGAACATTTATGGAAGATACCTATAAATTTGAGAGAATATCACAATTACATTAGTGTATTATAAATATAATGAGTATTTGAAAATAAATTAATAGTGCTTCAGTAAAATTGTTTTTCATAATATATTTTAAAATGATTTTGTTATAAGATATAATTGTATGGAAGGATCAAATGATTTTTTCTGTTTTTATATAAAATCTTGATATAAAGGTTGTGATAATCTATAATTTATTATTATATAGTTCTTTAACTATATAAGCTGATAGCCAAATAGTTTTTTAATCAATAAAAAATTTATTTAAAAATTTTTTTTGAAATAAATATTAAAGCGTACATTATATAATAAAGTAAATAACATATAACTTATTTGATAATATATTATTTAATAATATTTTTTTCATTCACGTGTAATTAAATGATAATTTTGTAGTTAATTTAATTTCAATTTGATTGAATTTTGTAAATTTACTTTATTTTAGTCGTTAAAACTATTATTTTACTTCCTTTTCTTACGATATATGGATGAAATGAATATTTAAAATAAAATTCAATATAATATTCAAAATTGATCCGATATTATTTGTTTTCCTTGAGTTCTTCCAAGCCAAAAATCGATATTCTTACCTGCCTTTTTGAGGTTAAAACTGAAACAGGTTTCTCATCATTTGGATTATTTTCTGTCTGCTTATTGATCGCTAAATTCTTAAAGTTAGTACTTGGATCCACAATGCCATCTAGTTTGATAGATCGTTGTCGGGTTTTGGAATAACCGCGATTTGTTGAAAGCAGTACCCACTGTCCATCGCCACTTGACGGATGATTCGATGGATGATCATTAGTACTTGGATATTGGTAGTGTGAAAAGTGCGGCCTATCATAGTAACCATCTTCGTTACTTGGCCTACCGAACTTATTGTTATTCGAGAAGTCATTACGATCATTCCAGCCGCCATGTTCATTTACGTTGCTCTCGGTATGATGAATGTAGCCAGGTCTTTATGGGTTTCAATAGTTTTATTTAAGTTTTTAATATGCCATGATTCAGCAATAAAATATTTTAGAAAGCCTAGAATAATTTAACTTTTAATTAACAAATCTTGTTATTTATATTTATGTTTTCAAAAATGAGAACTTTAAAACAAATTTTATGAAAAAACGTGTATTACAAAGCGAACGGATTTTCATTTATATATGATTAAAATATTAATAAGAATATTTAATTTTCCATAAATTCCAATGTAAAAGTTATATTTTACAAATCTCACTTTAATAAATTATTATAATTTCATTAAATTATTTGATTTTATATAAAAAGACTATAGATTACTAATTTTAATTTCACATTGAAGCATAAATTATTAAAATTATAAACAAAATTCAGACTGCATTTTATTATAAAACACACTGTTTTTCTTTTCATTATTAACTGTTATTTGTTAAAACTTGATATGTTTTTTATTTAAAATGATATTAAACGTATTAAAATTGTATAATTATAGAGTATTAATGCATGTTACATTGACATTTTTCTCTTCTATTCATTACATAGATAATGTTCTTTATGAAGTATGATAAATATATGCTATATAATTATATAACATTTAATTAATGTTGTAGAAATTTTTTTTTAATTATTTTAATTGTTTTTTTTTTTTAAATGCATACACCTATGGGTAATTATAGTTCAACATTAAAAATTATGAATTAAAATGTGAACATTGAAAATATTCATGTATATTGTTAAAAGCTTATTATTTTTACATTAAAATAATAATTACTTAAGTTGACAAATTGGATTAATTTATTTTATTTGTTTTTATTAACTTTTAGGTAATATTTTACCAAACTCCTTAATTTATATATATATATATTATTGATTTAAAGAATTATTTATTTAAACTAAAGTTATTAAGTATATATGACCTTCTATTTTTTTTTTTTTTAACAAATATTAATTATAATAATTGTATTCATGAGATAATTTACATGAACCAAATAAAAATACATTTCATTGAATGAAATGCATTACATATAAGGAAAAAGTAAAAGAATAACTTTCACAATTATATATGAACAACATATCATTATAATAAATTAGAATTTACAAAAGAAATATACATTAAAAAAATTGTATTTATATTTTAGAATGATCTTATTTAAAAATAAAATTATCCACCATATATACTATATTTCCAAATAACGAATAAATTTAACATATTCTTGACAAGATATTACCTTTCCCCTGGTTTTTCCCAATTTGAACTGGGGAAATTCGATGGTCCATTATCAGTAATAATATCAGAAGATGGATAAGGGAGTTTGGTATATTGATCCCAAGTGGGACGCTCAGGAGGCCATTTTTCAGCCTGATTTGGATTGTCTTCGTATTTGTCTATTGCTGGGTATGAAGGTCGATCGTGCTGTTGCTGAACAGGACGCGGCCGTTCCTGAGAGTACCAGGGCTTATTCGATGCTGTTGGTGAGTTATCGGACCAGTGGGGCTTTGTTAGTTTATTTTGCCTTGTAGTTAAAAATAATTTCAGTTGAAAATGGTAATTGAAAATGACAACTAAATGATAATTAAGATATATAATGTAAATATTAAAGTTTCTTTTATGTATAGTGCTTATTTTAATGTAATCAATATTTTCGTGGTTATTTGATTATTAAGTAACATAGTTCCGTTTGTCTTTTATAATATTAAAAATGAATGGAAAGAGGTAAAATATATTTGTATAATAATATTATTAATCTTAAATATGTCAACTACTGTGAGTGTAAAAATAATAAAGTATATTGAATTTTATTGCGTGATCTATTATTTGGCCCGATGATAATTTTATGATTCATAAAAATTCATATTATATAAATTATTCATTAATTTTGAAATATTATTATTTTAAGTAACAATTGTATCAATATTAATGTAGTAAATATATGCATAAATATTTTAGAGAATTTGTAGAAATTTATACTCAAGTCAAAATACAAATTAAAATAAAAGTAGATTTCTAATTTAGTGAAAGGAAAATAACTTTTAAAGTAAAATCTTTACTATCTTTTTATAGAAAAATGATAACGTTAATAAATGTAAATTTATTCTTTAGAATTCGCTGATAACTCAAAATTAAAAAATTTAATTAAAAAATTCAGCGATAATTTTTACCATGGTTTGTTGCTTTCATAAGTAGGTGGCTTTGAGGGAAATTCTGAGTTCCAGGGTTTGTTGAAGTTTGGCTTGTCCCATGGCTGAGTGTCAGGCCAAGGTCCTTGAGTCGTGGGATTTGCCTGCCACTTTGAGATTTTACTTTTGGACCAAGGTATGGCATCAAGAGTAACCCATCCGCTATTTCTGTTATCACCGTGTGAATCAGCATTGTATAATTTGTGTTTTTTTATTGTATCATTCAGCACAGACTGAAAAAATATTTTATTACTTAATCTTAAATTATTAATCTATGTTATGTATTAAATGTATACAAAAAGTAAACCTTGTAGAAATATAGCATTTAATATTTACTTTTAATGCAATTATAGCTTATAAAAAGGTAAACTCATACTTATACATTTAGGTGTCAATTTTACTGAATTTTACTGATGATTTTCGTATTAATACATAATTTTTTAATGTAGTTAATAGATCGTATTAAGTTCATAATGTCTGAAATTATAATGAGTAGATACCGTGACGTGTTGTAAACGACATTAATTACTGTGTAAATTAAGTGTTTGCTTTTAAAATTAAGACTTTATTTTTATAAATTTTGTATAAATATGTGTACATAATTTAATATCTATAAATTAATAATTATGGATTAGTGATTAGTTATTAAATTGTAAATTATTTTATACTTATAAAGTGAAATGCAATTATTAATTATTCAATCATAATAAAATTTTTAAACTAATTTATATAAATAGTTGATTCGTGTAATTAAATAATTACATATAAATTACGACAAACATGTATTAAAATTTATATTAAAATACAAATTTTTAGAATTAGTATAAATTACACGTGAAAATCTTTGTTTTTTTTCCTTTCGTACGTTTATAATAAGTTTCGTAAGTTTTTTTTAAATTTAATATACTACTGTGCTTCTAAATTTTTAATTGTTCATTAATAATCTTTATGATTACGATTAAAACAGAAAAATATATATTAACTGCAAATTAATGGGAAATGGGAAGCTTGCATTTCGAATATAATTTTCGAATATAATATTATCTCAAGTAAATGTATCGTTATTTTAACCTCACCAATACATCCGTAGAGTTATTAGTTTCCGTGTTATTTCTAACTCTCACGTCCGCTGGAAGCGATTCGATAATTTGACCCTGGTGATCGAACTTGAACTTGTTGGGCATTACATTTGGTCGCTGGGTAGTGCGTCTCATTTTAATTGCATACTCCTCGAGAAAGCGATTAAGTACGTCTGGATCGAATGTCGGATCGTGTCGCAGTGTGGTAGAAGCCACACTGCTATCAACGGAACGGCGGTTCTGCCATAGGAAGCGATTTTTGTTACTTTGGAACGATGAGGAGGTATCGTTGCTTTGCGCTGTAACGATAGTTACAGCCATCAGTAGCAGGCGTACTGCTTTCTTCGGTAGCATAATCTAAAAAATTAATCACTTCATTTAAGTAAGGCGCCACTTCGCTTCCCTTTCATTTTACATTATACAATGAAATCAAACGACAATACGCTCTTGAAATTCCCTTCTCAATAGAATATTTATAACGGCAATATGATTTATTTTTACAAATATTTTTATTAATTACCAAAGTTTCATTTTGCTCCTGTCAACAGTTTCCATCGCTTAAATAGCATGCGATATATAAGAGTTAATTAACGTTGTATTCTAATAACTATTCTAGTTATTAGAAAATAGAAGATACATTGTATCTTCTTCATCAAATGTTGTTGACTTTCAATAAAAAAATTTAAACATATATTTTAATGTCAGAATATTAATAAAATAAATGTCATATCTGAGTATGGCATTTAAAATTTATTAGATAATATCTATGATTAACTGATAGTGAATAGCTTTGTTAATATTAATGATACAGTACTTAATTTTGACTAAATTTAAGGAATTTTTAAAAAATTATCATAAATGGAAATATAAATTCATTTGCGATGTTGTCACTTTTATAATATCTTATTAAAACTACGTTAAATTATAAATATAAAAAATATTCAAATAAATTTGTAATAATATTCCATAAAATTTGAAAGAATTATTATATCTCTTACAATGCTTGAATTATTACTATTGATAGTAACTCAATTAGTAGCATTTAACAGAAGTATCCGAGTGATATTATTCAAATTTTATAAGGAAAATAAAAAAAGATACTTTCTACCTTTATAAAGAATGATTAATTTAATATAACTTTTTAAATCAATAAATTTTCATGCTTAACTGTGGTGCATATAATGCACAAAAATACATTTCTGAAAGTTTGATTTTCTTTATTCTTGCTAAAAAAAAACTTAAATAAAATATGATTAAAATATATTTTCATTATAATAATGTATACTTGATGTACTATACTGTGAGATATATTTTAAATGTATAACACATTGCTTTATTGTTTTATAATTTTATTTTCAAAATATAATAAATTGCATTAAAAAAATTGGTTAATTAATTACAGACAACGCTACATTGTGTTTCAGAATTCTATTAATATAATAAGTTAAACAGTTGTAAATATTTTTTTTATATAAATACGTAAAGTAAAAACAAATTTTATATACAAAAATTAAATTAATTATTATATTTATATTAATTTAATGGATATAATGCAGCCATGATATTTAAAGTCATAATAGCTTAGGCTGAGAACCATTGAATTGTATTGAAAGTTCTATCTAATTTAGATATAGCCGTAACAAATTAATAATTTTTTCAAGTACTATAGTTTTAGTAGCTTCGGTAGATATGTTATAACAAGTTGTATTACTCTGAATAAAATTCAAAATCCTTCCCACTTTCACAAGATCGTCGTTAACACTTGACTTTAAGACACTGACCGTGAATTGGCTTCTGAGTGTATATAAACGTAACAGCGCGCAAGCAGTCGTTACATAAAGGTAGCCGGCACCTCTCGATTCTCGTGACTCCAGGTGACGAGTGAATCTCCACGCGAAAATTTCTTCTCTGATGGGAAAACACGTGAGGAACGTGCATGAGCGCGCGCGCGCGCGCGAGTCGTTTCCGACTTGTCTCGGATAGTTGAGACAGCAGAATAAATAACGCGAGCCGGGCGACACTCTCAGGAACTTGACCTCGACTGTTCAAGGTTCGAGATGGCTCTGGTACTGGAGCTGTTGGCCCCGTTTGCTTTTAATCCAGATCCCCACCTTGTCGTGAGCGAGCGCTCGTCGAGAGCTCAGCACTACTACGTGAGGAGGGCATTTTGCGTTCGGTCCATTTTACATCTCACTTCCATCGTTTGCCGTCAACAAAACTCTGTGTGGTCCAACAAGAATTACTGTTTGCGAAAGGCTACCTTTGCCGAGAAATAGTTTTTATTTTAAAAAGAGATTTTTAACAATAATTGGATATATACTTTATTTATTTCGCTTGTAATTATTTTAATACTTGTGAAAATTTTTCTTATATTCAAAAATTTTTTTAAATTTATTTAACTTCTTATTTTATTTATTTCATTTTACATTTTCTTATTAAATCGAAGAACTCGTTTTTCATATCTATATAGTCATTATTTGAAGGAGCCCAACGGTTAATTATTAAGTATAACAAGAATAACAAGATATATATTAATTTAAATTTACATTTAAAATCACATACAATATAAAATTTAATAATAAGCATAGTTTGCAGTTTTCTATTAGGTAAAATAATTTATGCAAATTATTAACATTTAAGTTAATCATGTTTTTAATTTATTTGGATTTAAGAGGCTCTCTTTGTAAAATTGAAATATCATGGTTCATAATTATTTTTCGTTTTAAAGTGGAATACTTAATTGACTATTTCATTTTCCAAGAGCAGTCATAATGTATGAAACACTGTTCTTGCTCTTTTCGCTTTTTCTAATTCGCTCTCGAATAACTTGGTGAGTGTTCACCGATTATCGTGATTCTTCATCTGAAGAGAACGAGTACACTTTTCCTGAGAAATCGAACTTGTTTTCGATTCCTACTTTTCTTTAACATTCTACTTTTGGTGTGACATTATATATATATATATATATATATACATATATATTTAATTAAAAAATCGGTGCAAAATTAATTATGTATATGTTTTAAGATACGAGTTAATAATAATTAGCGCTATTTGTTTCTATTGTAATTAAATATTAATTATTACAATATTTCATACATTCATTTAATAAAATATGATAAAAAATTAAGAATTTCTACCTATATGACACGTAAAAATATTAACCATTTCGTCATAATTATTAAATAATTAAATTTGTAAAAAATATAGAAGATGTACTAATTGTGTTTATTTGGAAATATTGTCAATTTTTATTTCTTATCTTTCTTTATATTTAACTTTCTAAGGTTGCAGTATTGTCTAAACTAATAGACAAAATATAAAATTAGTAACTGTAATATATAAATATTTGAACATATCTCTTGAACATACATTATTTGTGTACTGTACAATGATTATAAATAGCTATATAAAGAATATTATATAAATATGTTTATAAATCACTTTGTAGTTAAAGAAAATGAAGATTAGTATAATATATTGTAATACAGAGTAGTTTTGATTTTATTGTTGTTAAATGTAATATTTAGGTTATAAAGATATTTCAATAATAGATCTATTTGAATATGCATACATTCATTTGGCAAATATATTCAAAATAATTTCGTTATGTATACAATGAATCTGTTAGATTTTTTATATTTTGATCCATTATTTATAGTAATACTATGTTTCAATTTGAGTGTATTTGATGTACATTCATAAGTTTCTCTGGTTCGTTTTTGTTTCTTTTTCTTTACAACATTAAAAATAGAGCTTTCCAAATGAAACCATGGGTTTTAAGGATTTCTCGTACATAATATTTTAAACTGACAGTTCTAACGAGTGAAAACTTGAGATATCATTTTAAATACATCCTGGCTATTTTCTTAATTTCCTCTTTAAATAAGGATCATTTGAACATTTTTCTGAGATAAAATAATTATATCAATATTATAACTCATTAAATTTAGAAATGCATAAATATAAAAAGATAAAATAAATCAAATTACAGTTAGAATTTAACTTAGTTAGAATTTTTATATATTTAGATAAATATAGTTAAACAATAGTAATTTTGAAATATTGCACATATTCAAAAACGGTAAGCATAAAATATGAATATTGTTTGCAAGGGTGAAAAGAAAATAATAACGTACAAAGTGTCACGTAGTTTTATGGGACTAATAAAATTTCGAATTTTTATTCCATCCTAAAGAAAGGAGAGATAAACGAAAGGAATGGGTCTATTTTCAATTTCGTAGTATTATCAGAGTGTAACGTTCAAACTTTCCAGGAACCAGATTAAAATCAAAATTCCACGGTATTCGTTATTTCTTCTTGTAGAAATAAACAAAAACAATAATATTTAGCGCAAAATGCTTGTATATAAAAGTATCTCGAACAATATAAGTTTACCAAAAGTTTCTCGTAAAAAATAAATAGCTAGGAAAAAATAGACCTCGAAATCGACGAAAATGTACCAATTTCACCGAGACGAGTTCCATCGAACAATGGCTTAGCTGTCTCGCACCTAAAGAGCGTTGCAATCGTAAATCATTTCCCTCTTTTTCTTTCACTATCTCTCTTTTAGTCGCCACAACATTTTCTCGTCCCACTTTCTTTAACGCTATTTAAATTGCAATTACATATAAACTCATCTTTTTTCTCGTGCTTTACAACAAGAAGATTCCCTAATTTTTCACTACAAGTTACGCTTACGTATCGATGAAGTTACCACAGAATTCAGAATTGCTCAGATATCGTTTTAAATTCGCTTTATACATCTGACGTAATAAATTTTAACCTTTAAAAATTTCAAACAGACGTTTGATTAAGTATTTTTTAAAGCATTAATTTAGTTTGATTTATATGAATACTCAAATGAATGCTGGAAAATTAATATTGAATTGCTATTATTATTTTTATCCATTTTCAATATTATTACAATTTTGAAAATAATCAATATTATTATTATATAACAATTAGATATATAATTAGCTATAGAAGTATGATAATAAATTACTAAATAAAGTCAATAAATAGAAATATTCTATTATATGATATAAGATAATGTCTTATTTGTTTAAACGAACGGATCTTTATACTTTGAAAAAATTGTAAAATAATTCATGCTTTATGTGGTATTTATTTATAAATTTTATTTGTATGTACTTTCTGATAGATTAATATCTTCATTATAAAAAGTTCAATTTTTCGACATTAAGTGCTATAAAATTCTAAAAGAAATTATAGCATTTTTATTTAATTAAGTTCGAATGTAATATGATTTAATCTTTTGTAGTTTCTAAAGTTTCAGAATAATTTTGAGAACACCCTTTTTAGCTAATTTTATATATTAGAAAAAAATAATTTTTCTTGATGACAATATCCTTTATGTGAAACTCAATCATATATATTTAAAATACATATGAAACTGTTAAATTTATTATATTTATTATTGCATATTTACGATAATTATTATTTAACTATAATAATGTACATAAACTTTAAAACTATAGAATATTTTTAATTTCCACACTGTACAGTTCGACACATAATAATATAATGTTAATTTTGTCAATAATAAGAGTAGTCCTTTTTAATAATAATGATATATTTAAATTGTAATTAATATGATATATTAGGTTATATATACATATATATATATATATATATATATATATGTGTGTGTATATATATGTATAGACTAATTTATGTGAGCGATATGCACATATACGACTATTACAACGGGATATGTAATCAATTATAATTCGGTTTCAAATGAAATTGAAAATAATGTTCATTCGTATCTTTGAACGTAATAACGAATGATATATTAATATTTATATATGAAATATTGTTTTCTTCATTTTTTTTAGAAATAAATATAAAAATTGTAATAATAATATTAGACACTATGTAACAATCGAGAAAGTTAAAAATTATATGCAAGTTCGAATTTATAAATATCTACTTGCATATAATTCGTATGTTGAACTTTCAAGTTGGCTAAAGTTTAACAATTTGAAATTATTTAATAATTAGTTAGCAGAATTTTCTTAATAACAGTATAAAAACAATCGTTTTCTTCGGTTCTACATTATGTCCAATCAACAATATTACTTCCAATTAGGTCGATGGAATTATCTACTTTGAGTGAATTTTATTTATGTAATGATTAATACTTTAAATTAAACATTGTTGCATGTAATTACTTCTATATATTTAATTTAATTTATGTTTTTTTATTTAATTTAATTTCTTATGTTTCAATATTTCTAACGTACACTAAATTGTATTTAAGATGAAATTCATTCAATGATAAATCTCATTATTAATTTGTAATGGATTTAACGTTTTGTAATAGTAAAGTAATGAAATATATAAAATAATTGTATAATTTAAAATCTGATCGTTTTAGTTACCTATTTATTACGTATATGAAAATGTGCGCTAAGAAAATTTGCATTAGTAAATTTATGAATTTTGAATAAATTTATCAATTTGTTCAATAGTTTAACATTATAGAATTATTTCAACATTAAATAATTATTTACTATCGATGACCAACGCCTTATTACATTGTTTGCAGTTACTATGCTCGTCGCGTCACGCGCTAAATATCATCATGTGCAGTGTCTCCACAACACAATCATCAGCACAATCCCAATGTGCATACTTTGTATCTTTTACCTATTGTCGAAATCCTACTTTCACCGTTTCAACAAAGATTTAAGTGTCGCGGCACATAAATCCAGTCCTTCGTAGTCATAAACCGATCACGCCTTCTGCGCATCTCTTTTTTAACGCTTTCTCACATTTCCTAATTTATTGGACCTTTTACTCTCTTTATGTTTATCTTTATTGTTCTTTTTATTACTATTTATTAGACATTGCTTATAGTCATTTTAAATGTTTAGATATTATTTGCAATATAATATTTATCAGATGGGAAAATTGAATTATAGAATTAAACAAATAAACTTAAGATAAGAACAGTTTTAGCACTGATTCGTGGCTAACATATAATGCCATTTATTAATTAAGAATAAAAATATATATAGGGCTAGTGACAAATATTATTAAATATGCAAA